GTCACCCCTAGCTAATCTTCTCAATTTCGCCATTTCATTATATATTTTTTTCGAATAAGCATCGAGACCCAAGCCATTTTGTCTCAAGTTAGCCAAAATCTTCTTGGGCGGCACATGACTTTGTGAAAGATCCCTGATAATCTTCACCTCCGCTTCATTCAATGCACTCATCTCATGCCCCGACATATATGTCGGAAAATGACTATGCTTCCCATATATTATTCTGAGCCCCGATCTATCGTCCAACCGCCGCTCTCCGACAATTTGAAAACCACAGTTTATTTTTTTGCTACCAGTCCTTTTCGAGGCCGCCTTTGGGTTAGTTGATTGTGTTTCTCGGGGCCCCCCGAACAGGTCCCAAGTCGGGCACTTTTTCTAATTAATTTCACGAAAAGACCTCTTGCACCGGACCTCGCCCAAGCCAGTAACTCGTCCCCAGAGTCAAACAATTGAGTTGTTGTAAAATAATCGGTATGATCAACTACAATTGTAGATGTATTGTCCGAAAAAAACATTAAGAATTTATTAAAAAAATATGAACCGGACGCCCAACTCGGACGCCCATTTATGCAGTGCAAACCCAAATTGGGCGTGCATTTGGCTTCCGGGCACCCGCCTTGGGCGTGGAGCAGCCAACGGCACGCCCAACTTGGGCGTGCAATGCATAAATGGGCGCCCGAGTTGGGCGTTTGCACAATTTGCCCACTTTTTTCGATCGAGAAGACGAAATTTTTACCTCGTTATGTCCGGTATCATGATCTTCATCCGATGAGCTCATTTGTGTTCGTATATCACACCAACAAGAATGATTTTTATGCAAATTTCCTTGAAAAGCTTATTTTTCTAGAGAGAGGGAATATTTTAATATTAAACCGCAAATAACAATTTTGCAACCCAAAAAACAAGTCCCTTTCTTCATCTATATGTTCATCACCATCTATTTGGTTTCTTACCATCCAATATATTTTATTTTTCTTATGTTCTTAACTATTGATTTCATGTTCTAATTAATATGGCTAACTCCACAGTTCTTTGATGTTTGCTTTTCTTTATTACAGATGTTAGTTCATTGTTTACTAAACTGTGAATATATATTAATACTTTTGAACCTTATGTATTTGGTTCATATTGAATGTTTTTCATTTATGCAGCACATAAAACATATTTTTTATTATATTTCTCAGTTCTCAAAATTGGAAAGTTGTCAACGGCGCTCGTTGCGTCGGAGCTTGATGAAGACGTGACAGCTTGATGAAGACCTGCTGGTGTATCATTTGTTCTCATAGTATTTGCGGGTAAAATTCCTGATAATCGAGATTACATCTGCAAGAAGATCCATTTTGGGAAGTATAACTAACAAGTACGGTTATTGTTTTAACCCATACTTTCATGATTATTATTTTTCACCATCCCTTCTATGGACTTCTCCTGCTAAATACTAAAATAAACTTGTAATTTTCCTGTAATTGGAGAATGTAAACAATTAGGCAAATAATGTATTTTTGTCTTGCCGTTCTTGGATAATGTTTCTTTGTTATGTATGCATGGGGTGATAAAATATTTTTTCCTTTGATCATTATTGTTGGATTCAGAAATCACAAGTTCACAATTGATTATATTATTTTCAAGTGTGTCTGCATATTTATATCTATATGGACAAATCCATCCCAAGCCTTTTCTTCCACCTCTTCTTAATCCTCCATCGGTATCCCATGGATATCTTCAAACATCAATAGCTTCTATTGAATAGCTTCAAATATGTGTGTGTTTGGTTATATATAAATAGCTATGTGTATATATGAATATATATTCTTATATAGAAATAAGAATATATTTTTCCTGGTGCAATTTAGGAACAATTTTTGTACTCTTGGCATCTAAGTTTTATTTTTCAGTTTTTCCATGTCTCCAAATATTTGCACTACACGATGATCCCCTTATATTTCTCCGCTATGTTTTTTTAATTTTTTAGAATATAATCGGAACAAATATTGCAACATTAACAAATAACCATTATTCTTATTTTTTTTAAATGTTTGATAAAAAAAAATAACCTTTATCAAAACACTGTATTTTGACTTTAGGTGGTTCTATTCCGTCTGCCACATTCATACCCGTAGTGGGATTGTTAAGTTGGCTCAAGTATGCTGTCTTATAGGTTATTTAATTGATAGCCAAGTGTTTGAGATATACTTCGAGATGCGGTAACAAGAGAAAATGGTTTGCGGATCCCCACCGGTATGTTCCTATTTTGTTGGAGACATACTATGTTAATATTTCTTCAAACTTCCTCTAATTACAATATTGTTAGTCCTTTCCAACTGTAGATTTCGTCGACAATTAACGGTAACTATTATTTGGTTGACAATGGTTACACAAATGGGAAGGATTTTCTAGCACCGTACAGAGGTACTAGATACCATCTTGATGTATACGTTCAAGGTCGATCTGCATCTTGGAACTACGTGAAAATTTTCAACATGAAACATGCAAAGGCAAGGAACATCACCGAGAGAGAACTCGGTCTTCTGAAATCAAGATGGGGCATGCTTCGAAGTCCAACCTATTACCCCATTAAAGTACAAAATAGGATAACTGTGGGATGTTGCCTCCTACATAATTTTATCCGGATGACTAATGCTTTTGACCCTGACGAAAAAACATTAGATAATTTTTTTAGAAAAAATCCGGGGGTGGTTAATGGGGAAGATTACATTAATATCGTTGAGACGTCACAGGAATGGACTTTGTGGCGAGATTCCATTGCCATGAACATGTATACTGAGTGGCTTCAGAGTCGTTAGAATTACTTCGTTGTATTAGCCGAAACTTGTTTGTGACTTATTTTATGTATTGCTTTGGTGTTTTCTATTTGAACTGTGTTTATTCAGACTGTATTTATTCAGACTCATATTATGTCTAATGTCTTTAAACCGGTTTTCGTTGTTAATATTTACATTGCTTAATTGTGTGACAATACATGGACCATGGACACGAATACAGGGTCCAAAAAATCCGGTAATGGTAAAAATCGTGTGATTGGTAGTAGGCGCAATTGGCCTTTGCATGAAGAGCAAAGTTTGGCTCTTGTCTTGAAAGATATTGTGTCACGGGGGTTGGAAATGTGATAACATATTTAAAACTGGATACTTAGGAACTCTTGAACAATTTATGGTTCAAAACCGGTACCGACCACAAGGCCGACCCACACATTCATTCTAAAATTCACATGTGGGAAATGCAACACGGGTCTTTAAGTACAATATTGTTTAGGTCGGAATTTGGTTAGAATGACACAAGTCGACACAAATCTGGATTATACAGTCTATATCTTCAACTATATGCAGAAATCAACATATATCACATATTTTAACACCTATCAACAAAGTTCACCAAATCTGAACATTTCAAGTTCTACAGATTCAAATATTACTAGTTGTTCGTAGGATATAAATTGTGTTACGCAAATTGAAATCGGCAAACAAATTACTCAGTTACGCGTGGAATTTGTTCAATTACGTGAACGAATAAGCAAATTTGAAGCATTGGGAGAATACGATTTTGACTAGGAAATGAGAGTAAAATGAATAAAACAAACAAAGGCATGATAGTACATTCATACTTGGCCAAGCTAACCAAAGATAATATAAAGAATAAAATTAAGGGGCTTAAAACTGCATCAATTCGTCCGTTAAGTCAACAAAATTACACTCATCCACCTGCCTTCTCAAAAAACGTCTCTCGCTAATCTCAATCTATTTAATATCAACTGCAAAGGTGAATCTGTACACAAAAGACCAATAAGTCGTTCTATAGGAATTATATATATATGTACACGGTTTATACAAAAAGCAGTTGGCTGCAATAAGATGATCGATCGATCCAATTATCATTTGTATGATGTCAATGTCAAGAGACGGATTCATAGGCCCAAAAGGTATCAGGATCGGGACTGAAGACAGATAAGTCTTTCACTTCTAAATTCGCTATGTTCCAATCAACAAATCGAGCTTGAACTGCTTTCAATAATACCAGAATCGTCGGCAAAAACCACCATTTCTCGTCTTCCCTGCCATCAGAACAAGTTCCGAAGCAACCCATTATGGAGGACATGGATTTTTCTCAAAACAATATGATAAATAAATGTAAATAAAAAAAAAATGAAGCCAAATAAAGCCTTGGGAACTTATGCATAAGAAAATAAGCCGAGTTCAGGTATCAATATAATATCTAAGGCTGATGTCCTTCCTATTTTCTCTTGTCCTAGCCACCAGATAATCCAAGAGGGTTTCTAAAATATATAGCAGCAGATTATCTTTCCCCAAGATCATCTCATCGTACAACTTACCTCTTTCCTAAGGCTCATAAAGAAAGAAGATATTGAATGCTGTGTGAAACAAAATACTTAAATTTTAAAAACTGTGCATAAAACTAACTAGGATAGATGGCAATTAATGCAGCAAGGTGGTCTAAATTGAAATTCCTGCAAAATGTGTTAAATGAGGATGTCACTGGTACTCACTTTGAATGCCAAATATTTGCCTTTTCCAGTGAATGCACCGAGATAATCACATAATGAATCATGCCGCAAATAAATGCCACAAGCTGCAAAATTCACAATGGTATCATTAGAGAGGTACAGAAATTTCTTTTGCATTAACCATAACTTGAAAATGATACTCTACATCCCATGCCAGTTAACATGTTATTTGGAAACAAGTGAGACAGGAGGGCGACTGAGCTGTTTCTCCTTCACTAAGTAAACAAATTTTAGATGTATTTAGCTAATAGCAGATTGAAAATCCAGGTTGTCCAGCGGCATGATTTTAACAATTTCATTAGAATCACATGAAGAGTCTTTTCGGAACATAAGAACGGATTGCGAATATTAAAAAACTAATAAACATGCAAGAAGAACTCTGCCAAAACCTTCAGAAATACTTGTAAAAACACTCGTATTTAGGCTTTCAAAATCAGATAAATTCACAAGAAACCAACTAGTACGAAAATTTGCCAACATACTCTTTAAATTGATCAATACAAGGTAGACCAGACAAAATCAACAAGAAATGGAGTACTAACTAAAGGAATAAGTGAAAGATCTAGCAGTTCTGACTCTTTCACATCAAGACTCTAAACCATCTATAGTTGACTAAGTGCAGTGTTTGTTTTCCCTTCTTAATTCATTCTATTACTTATTTATTTTGTTTTAGTAAAAAAGAAACCGTTATATGTTAGTATCAGCACTTAGTATCACTTACGATGTTCGTAATCGAGCTAGCATTCCACAAGGCATAAACACGAGCAAGTGAAGCCCTCTTAGGCCCATTAGTGAACAAGGCATTCAAGCCTGCTGGAAATGGAGAGAGCAATGATAGAGGAAGGATAAGAAGTACTGCAAGGAAAGCTCCAAGAGATATCCAGTAGAACAGAAATAGCATAAGGATAGTGACAAAAAGGTCAGCCAAGAGCACGACAGTAATAAAAAACTGTACAGTATCCTGCAAAAAAGGTAAACAAGCGTCAAATGGAGATCAGTATCTTAGCCAGCATATATCACAAAGTTTTGGTACCTGTCTGCCAACAGGGCGGGTATTCAGAAGCAACAGAGACAATGGAAAGAGGAGGTCCCTTTTATAGCCCAGTGACTTCAAGGTATCTTCATTTATAATGCCACCATTGAAGCCCCTCGTAATCTTTTTACGGGATAATACATGACTTGTGTGACTCTGATTATCTTCATCAAGGTTGGCACTATTTTCTGCCACTGACGCGGAGCTCCTGACGGTGAGACACAGTAGTATTTAGAAGGTTGAATAATTTAAAAAATATCCAATGGGAAGAGACCAGGATAATTTGATGACAGCTCACATAACAACTGAAACACCAGATGAACATTTCATTGGTGAAAATACCTAGGAATACCTACCTGCCCACCCTGAGTAGAACTAGAATTTCTACTAGTTGGGAAAAGAAAAGTTTGAATAATACTAGCTGAATACAATTTCCATAATTTATGAATGAATGTGTCTCTCGTGGTTTTCGATATTGCATAATGGCTTTTCTTTATGTACAACTATGAAATAAGGCAATGAAATAGTAAGCATGATATTATGCTACTAACCAACAAAAAACTTAAAAATATCATCAACTGCATGATTTGTCTCCAGAAAAAAACAACACTTCCTCAAAACACTACCAATACGAGATCAAGCACAGCAAAAATAATCCTGAATACCTAGGAATAGCACACCATAGTATCAGAATATTTAAACCTAGACCTTTTTCTCTCTTTTATTTTCCAGCACCTGCTTCAATTAAACTAGCATGATTGGAACATGGAAACGTATTGTACCTGGATGATGTATCACAAATGTCCAAATACTCTGAATGATGAAGATCATGAAGAGTACAGCCGCCAGCCACCACTAAAATACCCAGCTGATAATACCCACTAGATGTGGCTTGGAACCATCCAAGTTCAAGTTTTACATCGTGAAACTCGAGTTGGGAGTTTCCATGAGTAGTCAGCCAATTAATAACAGGAAGCAAAGCTGTGCGTATAGATCCATGCCTCACTGTTCTCAACTGAGCATTTAATCCAGCCACCAACCTGTTCCAGACAGTTGCGGGTACATGCTAAAAAGATAAAATTTGAATGGATTAGAAGATTATACATATAAATCTCTTTTTAATAAGTTAATGTGCTTGGTCCCAGTTTAGGAAACTATTGAGTCTGTTGCCCTGTTTCTTAGACATCCAAGTTACCTGCCCAACGAGATTCACTAATAATGTGTCGTTATGCAGATTATAAGGAGACATATAGCTTCCATCCCCTCCAAAAATAATTGGCATAGGAAATCTCTTTTGGATGCTGATTACAATATCTATGCGTTTCTCATCACCGCCAAGGAAAAAATCTATATAAGAAACCATCAAGTCAGGTGTTGCCCCAACCTGCAAAAACATTCAAAAAAAGGACTAGATTATGGAGAGCAACTCAGGCAAAAAATAGTGATAAGAAAAGACAAATTTCCCTTTCTTTGAGTTTTATGTTACCAACTTAGGTACTTGCGTTCTTTCCCATATCTAAGGTGTATAAAAAATCCTGGTATCAGCCAATTGTTAAATAATGATCTTACGCACATAAAAGATGAATGAACATAGAACAAAACAAAGAATTTCCAAGTTGTTATATTCTGTCAGTAGTTAGACCACATTCACGTTGTAAACCCCTTAACGAAGAATCTTTCTTTGAAGACATGCATATCTCGTGCTATTTCCTGGATCTGACTTGTCATTCCTCAAAAACAGAAATAAGTAAAGTTCCATCATTGAGTGACCAATGGAAGGTGTACGGAAAGTTACAATCCCCAGCAGAAATTGGAGAGACAATTGCCAATGTTTCCATAGTTAATAAGCCACATGATTTCAATAGTTAATAGCAGCAGGCTGTCTATGATTTGTCAAACTTATATAGAAAAAGTGACTTTCTAAATTATCCTCCAATTGTTTTGTTCAGTCTGATCTAAGTAGTCACCATTTTGTAACAGAAACAAAAGTAATATCACGAAGGGAATATATAACTAACATATTACAAAATCATACAGGTATGTATAACATCCATACTTCAATAATATATACATCCATACTCACACAGAGATGAAATATACAACTTTATTGATTAGATTAACTAATAAATAAATATAAGATTGTCCAGAAAAAACAGACTCCATGGTAATCAAATTACAACTAACCTTCATTCCTTTGTATAAAGCACGTGATCTGCAAGAGCGCAGACAAGAATGGTCATATTCAGACTTGACGAACTCCTGAAGGCGATGAATCTTTTTTCTCCTACGCCATTGTTTCCAGGACCAGGCACAAGGATATGCAAGCAATAAAAGTATGCTATGTACGGACCCTTCCCACCATTCATATGCAGCAACAGAGTTGATCTCATCAATGAATCTGTTGAAAGCATCTTCGTACCTACATTCAGAAAATTTTGTAGGTCGTGATTAAAGATTTATGGGACCAGAAAGAGAAAGATATTTGAATCTGCACGATTTGTATGATGTCGTTAATTTTTCAGCTAAATTATTGAGGGCATAAGCTCTCAACCATAAAAAACTACATAAACAAGAACATCTTAAAGTATGAATGATAAAAAATAATGCTTAAGAGAGTTCCACAAGGTTGACTTAGGAGGATTTCATAAAACTTAGACAATTAATAAGGTAAATATTTCAATTATTTGAACTGAGATCATATGTGCAGTAACATACTGAAATTCAGTAGGCTAAAAAGTAAACCAATTAAGCAAGATATATAAAGAAATATATCATGATATCATTCAGAATACAATGGCATTTTTTTGCACTACGGTGATTTTTTAGAATCAAGATCACATTCTTACACAATCTCAAATATTGCTGCGGGAGGTGAGTAAGGCAGATGCCAGGGTTCTCTGAAAGTATTGGGACCCATAAAATACATCCTATGTACATGAGTCTGAGTGTCTTCTGATTTGCCACCACGAACCTAGAAAAAGAAACAGAAGCAACATGGACTATCATTTGATGTGGTTTAGTTAAACTGGCCAAGTTAGGGAAATGCTCTCACCTCAGATAAGGAAAGAAGATAAGGAAAGCGTTGATCATCTTGATGTTCCATTGAATTTTTTGTCTCGTATGAGCAACCTGACCCCATCAATTTGATCCTCAGAGTACTTAATGCCACAGCAAGGAGCATGACTATACACAACAACAGAAAGGTAAAAGGCCATGGGCCTCCAAATGTGTATATCAGCTCCTCGAAAGGTGTATAGCACTTCGGCATCCTATATTTCTCAGAAATACATTTGTAGGGACAAGTTGATTGGGTGACTCCACCTGCAGGAATTGGTCGCATATAAAATAAAAGATGGGTTTTACAAAAAAATTATGTACTAAGGAAAAATAATAACATACTAACAAAAATTTGCGTCATATCAGTCATAGTACCTCTTACATACACAAACCTAGCACGAGTAGGAAGCCGCTCAAAGGAACAATCCTTGCAAAGATCTACATCAGATCCTTCCTCATCTTTATACGTTCCAACACGGCATTCCTATAATACAACCCATGGATATAGATGTTCAAAAACCATGGGGAACAACTTACTATTTCCTATAAAATAGTATTGCATTATCAGTGGACGGACAATAATTGCATAATTCTGTAAGTTAAGAACTGAAGTTCTATTTCCTGCAGAGTTATCTAAGAAACTATAACAAACAATATCCAGATTGACATGTATATCCTATAGAAGATGAATCTGATTATCAAAATTCATGGTTACGCATGAATTCAGAAATCCTCACCTGCATCTATGAAGCTTCTTGGGCAGACTCATAAAGGAAATAAAGATGCCTATTGAAGTTGGTTAAAGACAAATATTATCCATATATCTCTATTTCACCTTTAATTCGCTAATTATAACACCAGTATAAGCACTTTTTATCAGTTGTGAGTTAAGCTTACCTATAAGGTCAAGAGAATGCAAACTTAAACAAACATGGAGAATCCAAAGAGAATTAATCATAGTAATAAATAAGACAGGTATTTTATACCTACTACTATGTATCCTCCTACTGAAGTACATGCTTTTGTTTTCTATAGTATCTACCATTTCATATTTGGTTATTTTCATATTTTAAAAATAAAAGTACAAATGACAAAAATCTATAGGAGTACATGGAGAGCACAAAACATACTGTGCAGAATGTACCATACAGGCCTTTGGGGCACTTTTTCCCAGTAATCGTGCCCTTCTCCCCACGAATACCATCTCCACTCCCAGCACCTCCACTGTTAAATAATGAAAAAAGTCTATTCAGATGCAAATATATGCAGTTTCTGCATGCAAACAACTACATGATCTGCTTTCGTTTGCAATGCCACAACCACTTATTGAAGTAGTGAAGAGAGTAACATTTACTTAAAAATTTAGAAGAGAACTTAAAACAGTAAAGACTACAAATAGAATTGTTGTGACATTCTTAAAGGACATGAAAAAACCAGAAAACATTCAAAACTACATAAGTCTCCACCACATGTAAAGAAGTCGACTTACTACAGATTAAAGAACCTGCGTAAATGAGATTTTTTCTTTATCTGTCCGGAAAAAGTACATGTAGAAAGAAAATAAACAGAGGTTTCATATCAAAATTAATGCTACCTCACTCTGGCATTCCCATCTGTAGGTACTTCAAAGAATAAAACATCTCGAACGGTGAAAAGGCTATACGAGATGAAAAATAAGAGATAGTCTTATCTAAGACAACATTCATGTTCTAAGACTCATCCATGTAAACAAAAGACCACGGTATCAGAAATATATGAAGCTGCCAAAGAATGAATCAGCACAACAGTAAACAGAACTGTGCTTCATAAAGCAAAAGAGAAAAAAAATACCAATGGAAGTGAAACAAAAACCAAATATTTAAGGTTTCCGACAAAATTTTCCAAGTTAATTGCTATTCAATTACAAAAAAGCATCCTCCATAGAAATATCATCAATGTAAAAGATCCATGTAACATAAATATTGCCATACCTGAAGTTGATGGCACCATCGACAAATGCAAGTGGAACATATTCCTCTCCACTAGCGATCTTAGACCAATGAAAATGAATTCTTCCACCTCCACCACCCCCACCGCCCAAAGAGCCACCATAACCTCCAAGAACGGATAAAGAGGAATTCTCGGCAAGTGCAAGAGATTGAAGAAAAAGAAGGATAGTACCACCAGAACCTCCACCAAGTCCACCTATGAGAGTATCGTTACTATTAAGAGTCTGTAAGCCACGACTTTGGCCATCAGCGCTGATAAACCCATAATTATCCAGTCTAAAGAGTGGCCATTGTCTGGATCCAATCACTAACATACATAAAAACAAGAAAAGGGAGTAAAGATCATTATACATCAATCAATATACGGTCAAAAACAACACGAACTTGATAAGTTTTCAAGTCCGTATGAAAAGCTTATTAGCTCAGAATTATTTGGTGCTTTCTCTGAAGTTTGAAGTTATTGTGAGTGAGGGAATATAAAATTTATTTTTTTCCACTTTAACCTGATCAGTGAGATGTATACGTAATGCAACAAGGAACAAGGACATTTTGCGTGGAGATATATTCCCACAAGCATATTTTCAATTGCCATCCAAAAGACCGTGCATCAAAGATGTTTCTTTTGGTAATGTGTGATCTGATAGGCAGGCTCAATTACTCTTTTTTTTTGGAGAATTAAAATGTGAGAGCTAGTAAAATTTGTACCTATAATTCCACCACCAACCACATATCCATCAGACTGATAAGGATCCTCAGTTCCACTACCTAGCTCACAAGGAAGATCAGCACTCCCATATCTCTGACCACCTTCACTCAAATTTCCTTTGAAAAATCCAGACCCCCCTCTCCCTCCATGTCCAGCACCAGCACCAGCTCCATTTGAGTAGTTTCCCATACCAATACCAGTCCTGCAACCTGGAAACCATTCCATTCTGTGAATTCAGGAAGTCCGTGTCATATATAGAAAGTATAGCTAATGAGAAACTGTTAAGGTCTAATAAATTACAAGGTTACATTGCATGGGAAGGACATGAGACTTATAACCGGAGATTAGCATCAACAGAAAGCATTGGGTGTGACAATATATTTTCCAACATTTATACCTAATTCTGATGCTGTTATCATGCCACCAGTGTCTACAATGACAGTTCTTGACCTGTGGATGTGAACGATACTTCCCTTAATTACTCCATTCACCAGAATATCCTCAACACGACAAACCTGTCCAAAATAGAACCACTCAGAACTGTCGTAAAATTTGAATGTAGAAGTATGTCCACGAGAATTCACCCTATGATGTTTGTGTTAAAAAAAAGAGGTAAGATACGAGAAGCGTCAGAAGGTTATGCATTTTCATGGGAAAAATATCGCTGTAGCAGAAGATGGGAGAAAAAGCACTTGGTTGAACTTAAATTTCAACACTTGCTGATAAGGATGTACTCATATGTAGCAGAAGAGAAGACTGTCTCCAGACTTCCCCCTCCATTACATAATTAGAAGTCATGATGCAAATGTTTACAATAGGATTGTTAATTAATTATCCAAACCGCCACTCCTTGACTCAAAAGAAGTTAAACACCACATGAGAAGTTATTTTGTATCTGCTGGATAGTTATCGAAAACCTGACACCATAATTGTCAACAAATAGATCGAAGAAAACAGGCAGTGCAAGATATCTCACTTACTTGCATAGAGAAGGACAGTGTATAATTAACATGACAATCATCTGGTGGAGTTACAAGATCCACTGGGCATGTTGGACTCTCACATAGAGATTCGGTCACCCTATTTCAGAAATAAGATCATATCATTTGCCAATACAAGAAAAATGCCAAATAAGTACACATTAAGCGATTCAGTTTATTAAATTTATTACAAGCTTCTACTTTCATCATCATCCAAGGGAGCTTGCAGTAACGAGCCAGGGCCGACCTAACACAAGAAAAAAATTATGTAGTCAGAAAATATGATGGTTGATTGAGAAAAAAGAAGAAAGATATCAACACAAATGGAAAAGTAACAAAAGATGTTAAAGAAGGAACCTTCTAAGGGCCACGTATTTAAAGTATTGAAGAAGAAGAAGAATTCTCAATTTCTAAGTTCAAAGTTAGAGTTTCTCTGTCTATAGCCAGTTATAACAGCTACGGTAAGAGCTATACATAAAATTAGAATACATTTGAGATTTGCATAACCACGTGTGCTAGGAGGACCAAGATACCTCGTCTGGGATTTGCATTTACTGTAATATCAACCTCCTATGTGTAAAGAAATGTAAAAAAAATGTGGTGTAGCAAGACAATGAATGAAGAAGTATCGTTTGATCATGCATCCTCATCTCTACAACAGAAACAAAAGAAGAGATTTTGCTTCTTTAATAAATATCGTACGGTAATATTATAAAACTGTGACAACGAGAGTCTCTGGCCTTTGATTGCATCACCCTGGCCAGTTAGCTTCAAAAGTCCTTGTCCGAATAGAGCTAAATTTGCATTTGAACTGATGACAGAGTAGTCCTGCCAGGAAAAGGAGGGAAGGTGAAATTGGAGCGACATCGTAAACAGTCTTCTAGAACAGACAACATTTTCAGTTGTATTAAGAAGTCATTTGGTCATCACCTTAAGAACAACAAGATTTCTGACTTCAAGGACGGAAATGGCAACATCAGCATTTCCTCCACCATCAACTTGGATATGGGAGTTCAACATGAGTAACATTTTGACTGACATCCTAAAAGCTCCATAAACCTTCATCAACACAAAAACAAAAAAACATTTGTGACTACAATTGAGTCTGGCCCATCATCGATAAATAGCACAGAAGGGTATAAACATCTAACAAACTATTAATTGGTGGAAGAACAAGGTAGTCCTTTAAAGGAATCACATTGCAGTAATAGAAGAGAGAGTGGTAACAAAATTGGCCATAGATACGATCAGAAGTACTAGGATAGTCCTCTATTTGAAGTGAAACATCTACGTCAATAACTTTTGAAACTCCAGGTTGTTAGGGGATTGATGAAAATTAATGCAAGAAAAATCATGTTAATCCACAAGTAGGCTGCTTATAACTCAGTGAGTTTAAATAAAGGTCAGAACCTATTAGGTCAGCAACAGTTTTAAGCACTAGACAATTAGAATAAGCTAAAGATTCAAGTCTACACATAATAGGTAAAGATCCAAACCGAGTCTTATTAATTCAACAATATCGTCAACCATATATACTTAAGATAATGAGAAAGTGACTTTCAAGGTATAACTGATTAGCAGAATAACTCATGAAAATAGATTTACGAGGTATGCTTACTCCATCATTGACTGATAAAATTTCCGTTTCCTCCGTTTTAAGTATCATTATGTCTAAAACTATGGATGCACGGGCAGAAATTATTTATGAGAGCCTTCCCTCACATGCAGAAATCATTCAATTGCACCATTCTATTGCCAAGGTCAGATAATTATTAAAACTGGAGATGTTGAGAGAAAGGGAAACTGCCGTAAACAAATTTTCTACCTTTATTATTGAATCACTCATCAGAAGTTCTTCCGCGACAAGTTCAAATTCTGAGACTGGATATTCGGACAGTCCAAAAATGATGCTGCTTTTACAATATAAGCTTATCTGGCCTCTCACCTTCAAAGTAGAAAGTTCCAAAACATTATCAAACATTGTCCCCAGCACAGAAAGAGAAAACTCGCAAGTCAAGTATCTTCACCATTTCATTTAGAACTCTGGCATTTTAATAACGAGTAGTAAAGAGAAATGATTTGGACCTGAACTCTTGTCCACAGGAGAGGCACTAAAACTTTTGCATTGTTCTCCACATAAACATTCGTCCACAAAGGGCTAGTAGAAAAATCTAGTAATGGAGTTTCTGTTTCTGTTGTCAAATTGTCATTGCCAACTCGCAAACTCAGCACAGATGCATCAAAGTAAGTACCAGCTGCTCCAGCATTCCCAGAACATCCAATACTCAATCCACCTACCATAGAGAAGAAAATCATTTAGGAGACTAACCCTTGCACATACCTACACAGGTGAAAGATGCTGATCAAGAAAAGATAGGCAATCTGTTTGAAATTCTAGCCAAATTACCTGACTACATACATAAATTATGCTTATAAACTTCATTTCGCATTTACATGAGATCTATTATGAAGAGGCTCTAAACTATATTAACATGGCTCAGACGAAATTGATGTCACAATACAGAAAATCATAGCATACAACTTCAGTGATTTGAACATCAATAGCAAGGCAGAATTCTGCCACTCACTTAAACTAAAGCATCGAAACCCAACACAGGATATTAGTTAAGCAATTAAAGGATAATTTTGTTAGTTTGGAGTGAACTCTAGCATCCCATAGTAAGACAATTGCTAGGTGTTACCAATAGTCAACAGCAAAGCACTACAATATGCTATCTCAGGAGACTGGAGAGGAAAACAAAAGATTAAAATTTAAGCAAATCAAATTCCAACAGATGAATTCTGGTGTACCTAATAACAGACAGTCATATACTCGACTACAATAGAACAATTAGCAGATATCTGACATTTCTTGTGAAACAGAAATCTCGAAATATCAGACTTAGCAAACCTTATTTTCAGAGTAACCTTCGCTTCGCCATTTAAACGAAATATGACATTAAAGTGCCTCCATCTTTTTAGTATCATTTTGGCCCCTCCAACCCTTTAAAAATGTTTCAATCACCAAAATCCCTTAATAAATTACTTGGTAATTATGTCAAATGAAAATTATAATCCCCATCTAAGTGATACGATATGATTAAAGTAGGAATGGGTTCCTTATTTTGTAGTTGCAAGAGTTTTATAGTTGCAGGATTCTGACTTATAACTAATTACTCCATCCATCCAAAACTTAGAGATCCTATTTGACCTGATAGGAGTTTTAGATGAGAGTTGCGAAAACTGTGTTTGGGTATCTTCACACCATTCCATTAATATTATAAAATCATTATTTACACAGATGGAAACTTTAGATAGAAAGTTCCATTTTATTTTACAAACCGCCTTAAGGAGACAAGAACAATAAATTTTGGATTGAAGGAGCAGTCTTCATCTTACAAACCGCCTTAAGGTATTATAGTACTCCTTGAAGTTTACTTTTTATTTTACAAATATCTTCTCAGTAGGCGCAATTTGCAAAATAGAAACAAATGTCAAACTGGTACTTATAACATATAAACTTTTTTTTAAATAGGAGAAACCTCAAGAATACTCCTTCAAGTCCAGGTTTCCTAGATACATAGCATCACGAATGTGCTCGAAACATCTACAAAGACCTACAATCCAATCAAGATTAAGGAACTCATTACAACGAGCCCATTTGCTCAATCCCATGTTAACAAGTAAGAACCATCCAAGACTTACAGTTAAAACTATTCTGACACCATCAGTCATGATTTATTAGGAATTGCCCCTTAATCAACTACTAATCCATAACCCACTACCACAATGTTATATATATGGAGAAATTCAAAAAACATAGATGATAAATACCGAAAGACGCACAGCGTTAACATAGTTATACAAAGACTACACAACATCGTATGAACGCATAAGTCTTTACCAAAGTAGGGCATCATATTAGGGATACATACTTTAAGAAGTACATGTCATGTAATAAATTTTCTATAACAAAAACTGAAAAATAGATATACGACTTAGATGCCATTGTAAGAAAAAAAACAACTTCATAAGTAGGTCAGTTATTTAGTAGGATGAATGAAAATGATATTACAAGCAATAAACAAGAATGAAGAAATCAAAATTACACAATTTTTTTTATTTAAAATTTTAATTTTATAGGGCTCTAGGCTATACGGACTCGAACCGTAGACCTTCTCGGTAAAACAGATCAAACTTATTATTATCAAAATGATCTGGACTGTTTCAAAGACCCAACATGCATTTTTTTTGCATTGGGCTCTTTCATTAACTGAATAGAAAAAGCATAGTAGGATGAAATTGACAAGCACCTCGAAGTGTACCTAGCTAGTAGCTAAGCTAAAGTAAAAAGACTTGAAGCAGGACTAATTAGACACCGACATGCATAATGCAATATTACCACTAACAAAATATGGCTGATTAAAGCATTCAAAGGTTTCGTATATGAGTTACCGCTTAATGTTATCAAGATGCAGCATGGAAGTAGACATGACTCTCACAGAACAAAGTAGTTAGCAGTTGTCATTGATTGATATCTTATATAACTAGAAATATAAGAGCGGGTACGAACCGTGCACTGTAATTTTTACGTCTTCTTGCTTGCTGTAACAGTTCATTGATATCCTGCCACCTCCACCTCCACCCCATCCCTTCCCACCAGCTGCACTTATGACACCAAAGCCCCTCCTGTTCAGTTAAACCACATTAGTGAAACTTATACTGTATTTAATTAGATAGCTCAATGTTCCAAGTAAAAATTAGCTTAAAGGAAAATCATAACAAAACATATTGAGTCATTATCTAACAAAAAGCAAAGAAAATTGAACCAGTATAGTACAGTTTATCTAGTTTTCAGTACTTCTGCACAAGTGTAAAGTGTGTTGGTCTTAAGGTATTGGTCCTGAAAAAATTGAAACCTTTAACTAAGAAATCCATAAGATCTTTTGGAAATCCACGGAGATTATGTCGTGAATTGAATAGTTTTATTTTATTTTTGAATCATTACTGCAATTCCTTCGGTTGCATAGGATATCTAATATTCATTTGGACTCAGTTTTGATAGAATATCATCTTTTAGTCTATCTTCTAGTAGACCCTCAGAATATTGCAGTATACAAAACAAATACGAAAACAATGACACCATGGGTTCCCTTGCCTGAGGCTGATCGCACAAATAGAGAGACATGTATTTATACATCAAAACTCAAATTTTCTATAGATACAAGAAATATATTACATCTGTATAGTTAATTTCAGCAATAATTTTGGAAAGACCCTTCCTAGGAAAATCTCATACCAAGTCGAACAAAATACATTCATACCTGTAGAATCCTATTTGTAAAAACATTCATTAAGCATAAACAAAATATAAAGTAATAACTATACTGTAATGCATATCTCACATAATTAAATCAAAAGATTGACCTCACCTTTGTTGAAAACTGTTAATCTCTATACATGTGGAAGTATAATAATTAATAACTTAAACTTGGTATTGTATCAACATAGTTTTGAGGTCCTTATTTTTGGCATTGTTAGTATTATTAAGGTATAAAAAAGTTGTGGCATTATATTACACACAGTTCAAGTAGGAGATCTACTCACAGCTTCTGAGCTCGTATGATGATACTTCCACCAGATCCCCCACCCCCGAGTGTTCCTCCATCCCCACCTTTTGCGGATACAGATCCATTTATATAGAGAACATCTGTTATATTAAGAAACACACGTCCACCGCCAATTCCCCCAAATTTACCACCATCAGACGTGCGACCACCCTTGCTACCATAAGCATATGGGTAAGACAGAGTAGACCATGCATAAACATCACCACCCCAGAAGTTTGTTTGATTAGTTTTCAGACAGGATGCACCACGGCCACCATGCCCTCCACCGGCTCCATCATAGCCAACAGGTGTTCCACTAGTCTGAGGTGGCGGTGATCCACCCAATGCTGATGTATTGAGAGAAGAATTAGGCCCCATAGTCAGACTGGCAGCAGAAAAAACAACAGTGCCAGCAACTATAGCTGCATTTTGACCAACTTTGGCATTGCCAGATAAATTGAAACTTATCGTACAGCCTTCTATTGGGCAAACAATTTCTACATTAGGAAGAATCTCTAGGTTTCCAGCCCCGACTACATAAATATCGGTAGTACTATAGAGGTCTGAATTGAGCAAACAGGTAGTATCAAATGATCCAACACCCTTCAAGTCCTCGCAAGTAACAGAACCATTGCTTGAAAATCTTGATTCTTGAAATCCAATAATGGCATCGGCTTGAGAAAGATGAAGAGCCGATACTCCTTTCAACTTGGAGGCCTGTTCTTTAGTCCATCCCAAGCTGTGAGATAGCACATATACCCATAGATATCCACAGAAAATCCACCAGCAGATAGGATACTGACTTTTCAGTGGACGCATGACCACCGCATACAGTAAGATGCAATGATATTTATTAACACATGACGGGTCAAGAATGAAGCGAGACCAAATTTTATTTCTGCTCCCTAGGAACACTGCTGTCGATAATGAATCAACAAATCAGATTCATATTTGAATCATCCGACTGATACTTACTTATCTTAGAAGTGATCCGTAGCCTCGTCCACAATGGACATGCAATTTCCTGCAATTTAAAGGCATTGCAAGTTTTAGCTCCAAATGACGGTTATCAATAACCAACCACATACATAAATTATACTGAAGCAGCTTTTATCCCTCCTTTCTATAGCATTGGGGCTACACGGGCAATTTAGATATCAATTAAGTTTGCCCAACAGAAGAACAGAACTTGAAATCTTCGTGTTAGGTTACGAAACAACATACCGCAGAGAAATGAGGTCTGTGAAAAATAAATAAATTATACAAGAGCCGTGATCAAAATTCACAACAGTCGCCCACAAATAAAAGCAATGCAGATTGAAAAACAAGGATAAAGCACAAAGAATACATACTAAAGAGCAAATGAGCACACAGTTCACTACGCATATTTACCTCTCCTAAAATACATCAGGACTCGATTATCATCAAGTATGACGCACTATAACTACATACATATTTCAATTGTGTACATATAAACAAATTACAAAGACGTGTGCATATACATACAGTACATACAGAGCTGATAGAATTGATCAACTGGCCAGCGTAAGGAAATCGAATTGAATCTCGGAACTCAATTGCCAATTCCGACACTTGCTTTCAGAAATTTCTTTGTTGAACTCAGCTCCTGGACTATGATGATGATTGAATAGAGAATTAGATTACCTTAACCTTTGTATTTTAGGGTTAAAAAAATGAAAAGAGTTTGAAAATGGCAGTGGTGGGGAAGGGCGAGATGATGGTAACAGTGATGGTGAAAGGGGCGGTTTGGTTTTGGTGTTCAAAGCTGAGTGGGGAGTGACAGAGAGATAGATAGAGAGAGAAAGAGGAGAGAGAAAGTGAAAAGAGGAGAGAGAGGTAGTCCAAAAGGCAAAATGAGCATAGCTGGATTCTGGTTTGAGATCTATGCTCTGAGCTGTCCTCTATTTTCCCATATGTTTTACTCCAACTATTACTTTATTTTTTTTTATTTTTTTTTTTTATATTTATATTTCCCCTCAAAAATTTATTTATTATTTGTTATATAGCCACCTTGTCTTTTGCCTTCATCTTCGTAACGGCCACTCTCCCTTTTTATGGAAATATAGTTATCGTGATTCGTGTGTACCCCAATTACTGCGGTTTCAAATTTCAATCTAAACACCGAGTTAAGTGGGTTTTTATTTTCATTTTCGGTATATATATATATATATATATATATATATATATTATTTTCACTTTTCGAATTGCAATTTTGTATGAGTTTTGGTGAAATTGATCAATTACTATATATTTTGTATTGAAAAGAATTAGTAAGATCCCGTAAAAAATGCTATAAAAACGTGGGAAAAGTAAAGTTTTGATTTGATATTCTAAGTACATTCTTGACTGGGTATTGGACTGCTTATGTCATTGATTTATAGAAAGCAAGCTGTGTCAAATGTTCTAACTCAATTTTTCATATTTAGAGTGTCACTGTGTCACATATGATATTTTGAGATTTTAGTAAAAAAATAATCTCCAATACAAATTTTAAGAAAAAATAAAAGTAATCACTATAACAAATCATAACTTTTGCTTACTTGAATACTAAAAAAATTAAAAATAAATAATTAATAGTAAATTAATTTAATACCCTTAATGAAAATCAAAATCAAAAAAATATTACAAATATTATTTTTTCTTTCTTAAATACCAAATAATCAAAAACTCTCAAAACCCATTTCCCTCATCACTCACAAACCCCTCACCTCCTCCACCTCCTTCTTCTCCCTCCCCCAAAAATCCTCCTAAAAAACCTCAAAACTAAAGAAATGAAAACCTTACACAACTTGCAAAATGGCGTCAAACGACAATAGAATGGTAGTTTACGAACAAGGAGAACCCATTAAGGTATGTATTCATGTATTTTTTTAGCTAAAACATCGATTTTGATTCTTTTTCTTTTTTAAATCTGCCATCAACTTTCGACACATACAGGTCGAAAATGTGCTTATTTTTCGACATGTAAGTGTCGAAAAACATAATAATTGATATTATACTCATTTTCGACACTTAAGTGTCGAAAATAGCGGTAAAATTCGACAGTTACCTGTCGAATTTGTCTATTAATTTCGACACTTAAGTGTCGAAATTTGTCCCATGTTTCGATACTTAAGTGTCGAATTTGTCCCATATTTTCGACACTTAACTGTCGAATTTGTCCCATGTTTTCGACACTTAAGTGTCGAAAATAGGGGACAAATTCGACACTTAGGTGTTGATTTTTTCCCTGTTGCAAATTTACTTGTCTAATATTTTCTCCACTTTTGTGTAAATCGATTGCACCCATTCATTTACCACGTCAGAAAAATTCCCAACAAAAGAAGCTTTAATGGCATGGGTTCGTGAAGTATGTAAAAGAATTGGAATGGTGTTAATGATTGCGGGTTCGAGTGACGGGGATAGAGGACGTAGGACACCGTATGTGATTGTTCGTTGTGAGCGTGGGGGCCTTTATGCTGGCAAGAAGGTACCCGGTGAAGATGATCAAAGACCGGAAAAAAGGAGCACCGGTTCAAAGAAATGCAATTGTCCGTTTAAATTGAAGGGGACAAAAGAACACAAGGATGATGAAAAGGCTGAGTGGAAATTGGATGTTTATAGTGGTATTCACAACCACAACTTATTTGAAAACTTGCACGGACACTCTTATGCTGGAAGATTATCAAAGAAGCGGACATCACTTGTTCACACTTTGAAGAAAGCAATGGTGAAACCAAGGGCAATTCTAAGATTATTGAAGGAAAAGGACCCGTCTAATGTAACTGGTATGAAGACAGTTTACAATACTATCTCTAAGTTAAATTTCAATGAATTATCTGGGAGATCTCAATTGCAATTATTGTTCGCCAAGTTGAAAGAAGATGAATACCTCTCGTACCATAGATCGAACGAGTTGAATGCGATTACCGACTTGTTGTGGATCCACCCGAAATGCATTAAGTTGGCACAGTCGTATCCGTACGTATTCGTCATCGATTGCACGTACAAGACCAATCGTTACGGACTCCCATTTCTTGAGATTGTGGGTTTTACTTGTACCAACATGACGTTCTCCATTGCCTTTGCATACTTGGATCACAAAAAGACGGAAAATTTCGAATGGGCGTTGCGTTGTTTGATGGAGGCCATGACAAGTTGTCCTCGGCCTAATTGCATTGTAACAGATCGAGATTTGGCTTTAATGAAAGCAGTGGCCAATGTGTATCCATCGATTCATCACTTGCTGTGTCGGTGGCATGTGAACAAGAATATATTGGCCAATTGTAAGAAACTGTTCACAAAGGACAACACCAAATGGAAGCAATTTTAGTTGGCTTTTTCGGCTCTTATTAAAAGAAATACTATAGAGGAGTTCAATGAGGATTGAGAGTCAATAAAAAGAACATTTATCGGTTATCCGCCGGCTATAGCATATGTAGCTAATTCATGGTTGGATCCGTACAAGGAGAGACTTGTATCGGTATGGACAAATAAGTGTACTCATTTTAGAACGTACACTTCTAGTAGGGTGGAGGGGGCACACGTTGTAAGTAAGTAAAAATACTTACGAACAACCTTTCAAAACGTTGTATACAATGAGCTTCGTGGAAGTATCTCAAAATTCGCTCTGCAACTACTCAAAGTTGAGGTGGACAATGCGAAACTATTGCAACCGAGCGATATGGGTTGTAGTTGCGCCATCCGAACAACTCACGGTCTACCATGTTGCCATGAACTTCATGAGTATGTTGTTGTGAACAAATGTCCTATCCCACTTGAGTTAATAGGCTCGTATTGGTAACACATGAGCATAGAGCCCGTCGCGACCACAGACGAAGTCATCCTACCAACCATCGGCGAAGAATTATCGGAATACCAGAAGCTCTTTGAATGTGCCGATCTCGATGCAAAGACTCAATTGCGCAACCATTTGAGACATTTTACCCACCCAGAGAAGACTAACCTTACGGAACCAAGTGAAAAAGTTGTTAGCAAAGGTCGACCGGCAAAAAATAAGAAAGACAAATCAAGCACTCGTGACAAATCACATTTTGAGTATGTGGAGCCAAAGAAAAAAAAAATCGAAGCAAGCTAGTTGTTCTCCAAAGGTAAATGTCGCTACTATTGTCTCATTTCATTGTAGTTGTTGTATTTTATAATTGTGCTAAGTAATTCTGTGTAATATACTGCAGCTTATACCTTTCAAGCAACCTGTACTAAAGAGATTTAGAGTGCCCTCGAATGATTCTATTAACACTATACCAACTCAAGAGTCAGGGAAAAGCACTATACCGACGCAAGAGTCGTTCAAACTATTATTTGAAGATGCAGATGTGGGATTGCCACCAGGTTTGATCGGCAAGAATAAGTACATTGAGACGATCAATCCACGATTTCGTATGCATGTTCGAGAAATCATCAATATCGGTTCAGATGGCCACTGTGGATTTCGGGCAGTTGCCTCTATGATGGGATTTGGAGAAGATGAATGGGGTCGAGTACGAGATGACATGCTACGGGAGTTGACTTCTATTTTTTTCATTTACACGGCCATGCACTGTGGCGAAGAAACCGTTAGAAGCATGCAAACTATTGTGAGTAACTGGGATGTTCCTGCCACTCGTGACTATTGGATGTCTTTTCCAAATATGGGTCATGTAATTGCTTCAACATACAATATTGTGCTTGTCTACTTATCCAAGTATCAGTGTCTCACGTTTCTTCCTCTATCGAGCAATCCGATGCTTTTCAGAGAGAGACAAGAGCACGGAATGGCATTCGTCGACAACTGTCACTTCGTGCATGTTGTCTTGAACAACAATTGTCCAATACCTCCTATCGCCGATTATTGGTACCGATGCCATGTTCCTAAAGTTGATGGTTGGAAGCCTGCAGAAATGGATGGTTCGGATTACAGCATTCCGAGAACTAATAGGTCAAAATGTTGCCATGCGAGAGAGTTTTGAGATTATTACTATATCGGACAATAATGGTGATAGTTCTCCGAACAAAACTATGTAAAGTTACTGGTGATAGTTTCAATGTTATTAAGGGCAACTCCAATGGGAGACCCCAAATTGAAGACCCCAAACACTCATTTGGGGATTGCTATAGTGTTTTGAGGCTTCACAAAAAGGTTTTCACTCCAATGGCAAACATCAAATTGGGGCCCCATTTTTAAATTTAATTTATTTTATTTTATTTAAATGAAAACTAACTATATTTTGTTAGAAATAAATAAATCAATAAATATATTTAAATTTAAATTTAAATGAAATAAAAATAAAATAAATTAAATAATACGAAAAAAATAATTTGTGTCGAGGTGTCGATTAAAGCAATGTTCTAGTTGGAAAGCTCTACCTTCATCGGCAACGTATAGTTGTTTTGCTTCAATCAACTGCAAAAAAAATAAGGTGAAAAATAAGTAAATAGTATTCTATGAACAAAAATTTGAATATAAATATTTACCTTTCCATGAGTCGATTGACCGGATTGATGCCTATCGTCGATTTGTTTGACACAACCAGCAAATTTAGCACATCGTGCATTAATTTGTCCCCAGCGATGTTTTATGCTTTTCTCGGTACGCCCCACATCACCGCCATGACTCATAAATAGATCATATATTTCTCCCCAAAACGTAGTGGCTCTCTGATCATTTCCAGTAATAGCATCCTTGCTTGTATTTAGCCATGCTGAAACAAGAATAATATCCTCATCGCGGGAAAAATTCTTTTTTCTTTTTGATAGTACTTGCCCTGCCACTGCACTTTCAAGAGGTGTAGAAATCTCGTCGAATTGATTAGTTTCCACAAACTCCGGTGACGTGCTATTTAGCAAATCAGCGTAAGAATAATACATATCGTCATCCATCTATAAAAGCAAGAAAATAATTATTAATTAGCATACACATAAAAATAATTAACCTAAAAATAATTAG